TAGACACTTACATCTTGCTCTACCATAGACACTTCCATCTTGCTCTACCATAGACACTTCCATCTTGCTCTACCATAGACACTTCCATCTTGCTCTACCATAGACAACTTCCATCTTGCTCTACCATAGACACTCTACAGCTTGCTCTACCATAGACACTTCCATCTTGCTCTTCCATAGACACATTACATCTTGCTCTACCATAGACACTTACATCTTGCTCTACCATAGACACTTACATCCCTTTCTTCTACCATAGACACTTACATCTTGCTCTACCATAGACACTCTTGCTCTACCATAGACACTTACATCTTGCTCTACCATAGACACTTACATCTTGCTCTACCATAGACACTTCCATCTTGCTCTACCATAGACACTTCCATCTTGCTCTACCATAGACACTTACATCTTGCTCTACCATAGACACTTATATCTTGCTCTACCATAGACACTTAAATCTTGCTCTACCATAGACACTTCCATCTTGCTCTACCATAGACACTTCCATCTTGCTCTACCATAGACACTTCCATCTTGCTCTACCATAGACACTTCCATCTTGCTCTACCATAGACACTTCCATCTTGCTCTACCATAGACACTTCCATCTTGCTCTACCATAGACACTTGCATCTTGCTCTACCATAGACACTTGCATCTTGCTCTACAATAGACACTTACATCTTGCTCTACAATAGACACTTGCATCTTGCTCTACAATAGACACTTACATCTTGCTCTACAATAGACACTTACATCTTGCTCTACAATAGACACATGCATCTTGCTCTACAACAGACACTTGCATCTTGCTCTACAACAGACACTTGCATCTTGCTCTACAATAGACACTTGCATCTTGCTCTACAACAGACACTTGCATCTTGCTCTACAACAGACACTTGCATCTTGCTCTACAATAGACACTTGTATCTTGCTCTACAATAGACACTTGCATCTTGCTCTACAATAGACACATGCATCTTGCTCTACAACAGACACTTGCATCTTGCTCTACAACAGACACTTGCATCTTGCTCTACAACAGACACTTGCATCTTGCTCTACAATAGACACTTGCATCTTGCTCTACAATAGACACTTGCATCTTGCTCTACAACAGACACTTGCATCTTGCTCTACAACAGACACTTGCATCTTGCTCTACAACAGACACTTGCATCTTGCTCTACAACAGACACTTGCATCTTGCTCTACAATAGACACTTGCATCTTGCTCTACAATAGACACATGCATCTTGCTCTACAATAGACACTTGCATCTTGCTCTACAATAGACACTTGCATCTTGCTCTACAACAGACACTTGCATCTTGCTCTACAACAGACACTTGCATCTTGCTCTACAACAGACACTTGCATCTTGCTCTACAACAGACACTTGCATCTTGCTCTACCATAGACACTTACATCTTGCTCTACCATAGACACTTACATCTTGCTCTACCATAGACACTTACATCTTGCTCTACCATAGACACTTACATCTTGCTCTACATAGACACTTACATCTTGCTCTACATAGACACTTCCATCTTGCTCTACCATAGACACTTCCATCTTGCTCTACCATAGACACTTCCATCTTGCTCTACCATAGACACTTACATCTTGCTCTACCATAGACACTTCCATCTTGCTCTACATAGACACTTCCATCTTGCTCTACCATAGACACTTCCATCTTGCTCTACCATAGACACTTCCATCTTGCTCTACCATAGACACTTCCATCTTGCTCTACCATAGACACTTCCATCTTGCTCTACCATAGACACTTCCATCTTGCTCTACCATAGACACTTACATCTTGCTCTACCATAGACACTTCCATCTTGCTCTACCATAGACACTTACATCTTGCTCTACCATAGACACTTCCATCTTGCTCTACCATAGACACTTCCATCTTGCTCTACCATAGACACTTCCATCTTGCTCTACCATAGACACTTATATCTTGCTCTACCATAGACACTTACATCTTGCTCTACCATAGACACTTCCATCTTGCTCTACCATAGACACTTCCATCTTGCTCTACCATAGACACTTCCATCTTGCTCTACCATAGACACTTCCATCTTGCTCTACCATAGACATTTACAGCTTGCTCTACCATAGACACTTCCATCTTGCTCTACCATAGACACTTCCATCTTGCTCTACCATAGACACTTACATCTTGCTCTACCATAGACACTTACATCTTGCTCTACCATAGACACTTACATCTTGCTCTACCATAGACACATCTTGCTCTACCATAGACACTTACATCTTGCTCTACCATAGACACTTACATCTTGCTCTACCATAGACACTTCCATCTTGCTCTACCATAGACACTTCCATCTTGCTCTACCATAGACACTTACATCTTGCTCTACCATAGACACTTACATCTTGCTCTACCATAGACACTTAAATCTTGCTCTACCATAGACACTTCCATCTTGCTCTACATAGACACTTCCATCTTGCTCTACCATAGACACTTCATCTTGCTCTACCATAGACACTTCCATCTTGCTCTACATAGACACTTCCATCTTGCTCTACCATAGACACTTGCATCTTGCTCTACAATAGACACTTGCATCTTGCTCTGCAATAGACACTTACATCTTGCTCTACAATAGACACTTACATCTTGCTCTACAATAGACACATGCATCTTGCTCTACAACAGACACTTGCATCTTGCTCTACAACAGACACTTGCATCTTGCTCTACAATAGACACTTGCATCTTGCTCTACAACAGACACTTGCATCTTGCTCTACAACAGACACTTGCATCTTGCTCTACAATAGACACTTGCATCTTGCTCTACAATAGACACTTGCATCTTGCTCTACAATAGACCACATGCATCTTGCTCTACAACAGACACTTGCATCTTGCTCTACAACAGACACTTGCATCTTGCTCTACAACAGACACTTGCATCTTGCTCTACAATAGACACTTGCATCTTGCTCTACAATAGACACTTGCATCTTGCTCTACAACAGACACTTGCATCTTGCTCTACAACAGACACTTGCATCTTGCTCTACAACAGACACTTGCATCTTGCTCTACAACAGACACTTGCATCTTGCTCTACAATAGACACTTGCATCTTGCTCTACAATAGACACATGCATCTTGCTCTACAATAGACACTTGCATCTTGCTCTACAATAGACACTTGCATCTTGCTCTACAACAGACACTTGCATCTTGCTCTACAACAGACACTTGCATCTTGCTCTACAACAGACACTTGCATCTTGCTCTACAACAGACACTTGCATCTTGCTCTACCATAGACACTTACATCTTGCTCTACCATAGACACTTACATCTTGCTCTACCATAGACACTTACATCTTGCTCTACCATAGACACTTACATCTTGCTTACCTATAGACACTTCCATCTTGCTCTACCATAGACACTTCCATCTTGCTCTACCATTAGACACTTCCATTCTTGCTCTACCATAGACACTTCCATCTTGCTCTACCATAGAACACTTCCATCTTGTCTACCATAGACACTTCCATCTTGCTTACATAGACACTTGCATCTTGCTCTACCATAGACACTTCCATCTTGCTCTACCATAGACACTTCCATCTTGCTCTACCATAGACACTTACATCTTGCTCTACAATAGACACTTACATCTTGCTCTACAACAGACACTTGCATCTTGCTCTACAATAGACACTTGCATCTTGCTCTACAATAGACACTTACATCTTGCTCTACAATAGACACTTGCATCTTGCTCTACAATAGACACATGCATCTTGCTCTACAACAGACACTTGCATCTTGCTCTACAATAGACACTTGCATCTTGCTCTACAATAGACACTTGCATCTTGCTCTACAATAGACACATGCATCTTGCTCTACAACAGACACTTGCATCTTGCTCTACAATAGACACTTGCATCTTGCTCTACAATAGACACTTGCATCTTGCTCTACAATAGACACTTGCATCTTGCTCTACAACAGGCACTTGCATCTTGCTCTACAATAGACACATGCATCTTGCTCTACAACAGACACTTGCATCTTGCTCTACAATAGACACTTGCATCTTGCTCTACAATAGACACTTGCATCTTGCTCTACAATAGACACTTGCATCTTGCTCTACAATAGACACTTGCATCTTGCTCTACAACAGACACTTGCATCTTGCTCTACAATAGACACATGCATCTTGCTCTACAACAGACACTTGCATCTTGCTCTACAACAGACACTTGCATCTTGCTCTACAACAGACACTTGCATCTTGCTTTACAATAGACACTTGCATCTTGCTCTACAATAGACACATGCATCTTGCTCTACAATAGACACTTGCATCTTGCTCTACAATAGACACTTGCATCTTGCTCTACAACAGACACTTGCATCTTGCTCTACAACAGACACTTGCATCTTGCTCTACAACAGACACTTACATCTTGCTCTACAACAGACACTTGCATCTTGCTCTACAATAGACACTTGCATCTTGCTCTACAACAGACACTTGCATCTTGCTCTACAATAGACACTTGCACCATGTTCTGTGACAAACACTTGCATTTTTTGGGTGGGCAGATTTATCCTAAATATATGACTGTGGAAAACATGTCGACTGGAGTAGCGAATATAATCAAGTGGCAGCGTCCACAACTCAAAAACAGGGATCAGGGTTCGACTCCTTCCGGACGCATGGAAACATTGGGCACGTTTCCTTACACCATACCGACTAGTGTGGGTCGCATCCTGGGGAAAAAGGATTAAAGGACCCTAATGGAATTAAACCAGAGGGTTAAAGACGCGACTTGAGTGGGTTATCGTTCGGGTTTATAATCCGAACAAAATCTTCTACTTAGAATTGGCGTTATAATCCTTCTGACGTACCTAAATTAGGGTTAAATTGTACTGCTGACGTACATATATTTTCCTGTAGCTACAGCTTGTGGGGTTCGAACGCGTCCACTACGAGTTCTGAGGAGTCCTACCGACGTCACTTTAGCCGAAGTCTGTGCCGGGTGGTGTTCGGCTGCGCTGTGCTACTAGTGATCCTAGCTGTCCTGGGCATCGTGGGCATAGCAGTGTACCTAGGAGGTATGCCCAGCATCCACTCTTCTTCCGGATACAGTCTGTTTACCTTAGCCACTTTTAACCTTCAAATAAATAATTATTAATTACAAATTATATGTGAAATTATCATTCCGATTATTTACTTTCCTTTATTTTTATATTTTTTTTTGTAACATACAATTGGAGTGAGGATTACACTCTCAACATTATATATACATAGATATTTACACTTAGTAACTTTCATCCAGATCAGAAATAAGTCATCTTAGATGTAGCAGCTATTATTATTACTCTAGAATGACATGAATGATTCGCTGAAAGAAGAAATTGGCAGCTTTGGAGTCCTTAATTACCCAGATAAGTTTATGTCCTGGGTCTCTCAAGACTGGTTATAAATGACCATAATTTTTAAAGGGGTGGACCGGTAAGCCAGCGGAAGGCCTCGGTCAGATGACCAAAAGCTCCAAAGGCGGGTCATCATCTGACTAAGACCCGCGTCAGGAAACATTTGTCCTGTTTCCTGACGAACCTTACCTAACCTAACCTAACCTGGGTCTCTCTTGGGGGCTTTAAGCATCATCTTTCAGAGTTACGGTGTGTGTATTGGAGATAAGTATTAGTAGGTTTAGTGCTTGTGGAAAATTACTTTTACCTGGATGAATCTCATTACATACATACAAGTAAATGGTAACAAAGATAATTATTATTTATCAGTTACAGAGACAAGTAGGAATTTTTAGGACATCTAGGTCGCAAAAATGTCCCCCTTTGATACTTACCATCTATCTCTCCACAAGTTGCTCTAGACCTATATTAATTGCAAATGAAATGTACATACACACCAGGAATTCTGGTAAAATTATTTTAATTTTTGTGGACTGTATATTAAAATTAATAAATGATTACATATACACATTTATATAACAGAAGGAGAATTTATAATCATAAGACTCACCAATTTGTCTGGAGATTACTGTGTATCATACTCAAAAAAAACCCTGTCTACATTTATGATAATAATACTGGCCAGAGCTATAAACATAAATACATGTATAGACATGACTTAGCTGGGGGTAATATCCTGTTTTCATCTAATTACGGAGTCCTGTCCAGTCGCCTGATTCTCTCGTTATGCAGGACTGCAGTTCCAACAATTTCGGCTCCTATTTGAGAGGTGTAAGCGCAATATAACCTCTAGAGTGATGGAAATTCTTATTTTCACTAACGTTTTCTTGGCTCATTAAAAAAACATGGCGACTCTCCCCTGCTCGTCCACGCAGGCGCCGAGCTTCCCATTTTTTATAATATAATTTTTATTCAATACAATATATTTTATTAATTTACATACAAATACACTATTTTCGGAAAATATACTATATATTTTCCACAGTGCTTCTTTTTTATAATAATAATAATAATAATAGTAATAATAATGGTCATTGTAGATGCTGATGGAAATTTTATTTGGGTAAGCCAGTGTATCTTATTTCCATTGTATTATTTAAGAACATAGATATTGTTTGTAGTCAACTGTATCATTAACAGAGTTAGCCATTATTGTCATGCACTTTACATATATTGTTATTTATGTGCACTAAATGTCTCCTAAGCTATTTCATACCACATGTTTCCGTCTGCATGCACATACACACACACTCACACATTCAGGGCCAAAAGTTGTGAATTCACCCCTGCAATCACATATAGGTAAATACACACACACACACACACACATATGCAAAACCCATTGCCGCCACATATGGGTGAGCACATATATATGAGTACATGTGTTCATATTGCTGTATATGTCAAAAGAAGACAGAACAAAATTCAAATATGCCAGTATTATAAGAAATACAATTCCAGCCCCACTGGGCATTCAAATTCAGTTAATTGTGGCAACTGTAATCCACTATGCAAACACCATTAATTAATTAAGTTATTTTCAGTTATATGTAAACCCAACAATCCATTTTTTTCAATGAAATCATTAAATTAAATTAAATTCTCACTGATTACATATCCGGTTCGAAGAACGAAAACCCTGTAATTTTTTATGTGGGAAATTACCTGCAGGAGGTTTACAGGGTATTAGCTGAATTATTTCCTGTAAGTAATTTGGGTGAGATAAGTGGGACTTAGTCACAGTAGGTTGCCAAACTGTCACTCCCTCGATGACCACACCCTACCACTCTCACAGAAAAAGCTAGACCTAACATTAAATTAATAATTACAATATTAAAACCAGCTGCTCTGGTAAATTAAAGTTGTGTGGACTGTATATGATTAGGCTTGCTGGGTGCACAATATAATTATTGTACATAAATTGAAGTAGTGTTATTAGAAAGGAAATTCGTATTACCACTTACCATTTATTTTCTGGATCATAATTGTTATTTTTGGAAATACACCCTAGCACTACCACTACAGTTAAACTACTGTACATTATGGGTAAGCATCACTTAGTGCTCACACATTCAATTCATTATGGTGTCTCCCTGTAGCGTCACTCCCCCGGCTGTTCTACCTCCCCCCTCTCACTCGAAATTTCTTGAAAGGGTCAAATCAGCATCACATTTTATTACACAATTATTATATTATTCATTTATATGCTCTACCTTTAGGAAAATTATGTAAAAAATTTCCACAAGTAATGCTAATAAATAATATAGCTCTGCTCACCACATTGTTACAAATGCTGACATTCACTTTTCATACAAAGTTGTGATCTATGTTTAAATATGTATTAATAATTAATATTTATCCAAAAACACATCAAAATACTTTTGCATGTTAGCTTTCTGAATGATTCACTACAGTCAAGTCTGCATAGTTGAACTTCCTTTTTTGATAAGGTGCTCTTTTGCTGTAATTAGTATTTTGTGCTTAACTGTAATTTTGCTTAAAGAATAATGTGCAACTAATATTTTTGTTTTTCACTTGCAGTGTTAACAAACGAAGATGAGGGATCCAAGTGTGAGTATTGACTTGATTGTTATTATTGTTACAGTGAGAACTAAGCGCTAAATCCGTAAGGGTATGCAGTCTGATACAAGGAGACCATGATAGAATGGAACCCTGCATGGACCTTCTTCAGTAGTTAGCTTTTGTGTAACTGTTATATGGACTAGGGTAGCAGCACACTGCTGATGTATCAAATCTTGTTAAAAAAAAAAAAAAGAAATGAACCTGTTGGGGTGCAGTTCTTGACCCTACCTTCACTTCTCAATGGGGGAGTGTTCTAATTTCAACTTTATTGATCACCAGAAAATCCTAGTTCACATATGAGGCTTCATGTTCATCAGGGACGTGTACATCTTTATTACGCCAGGGCAAAATTTTCAAATGGCAGACACATTAAATACAAGACTCACGAAATCGTAATGACACGATTGCAAACAAACCTTATCACGGGCGGGGATGGAACCCGCGATCAGAGGGAAGCAAATGTTGGTGGCTTATTTTGAAAACAGGTACACAATAAAGGCCTGCTCTACCTGGCTGTAAATCAAGTCTTTATAGACTCTATCGACTTGAAATAAGCTTAGACTCCAAGAACAACCAAATCTCAATAAATATTTCCATTCTACCTTAGTATCCTTTTATTATGTAGTCTGTTGGTTTTCCAACAAATGTGTCATGATGCCAGTGAAGAGAAATTCATCTAAAGAAATGAACATGCTTTGTTCTTTAGTGGATTAAATTCCATCACCTCCCATTCCCCAAGCTTTATATGACCATCATCCTCTCAAGGAAGGTTCCATGATGCCAGTGAGGGGCTCTTGTTCTAAGGAATTGAACCTGTGCTTCCCATTCTTGGTTTGAACCTGAATGCCTCCCATACAGGTTTAGTGCTCCTCCCATGACTGTAATAATAATGTATGACTCCTATGGGTTTAATATTCCCCTATGAATGTAATATTAACAGTTATGTTTTATGGCAATAATCTGACCAGTAGATGTGTAGGCTACAGTTGAATAGCACATTTGTTGTGTGATTAACAGATAGAGGATTGAACCTCCACCACTCCTTAGACTGAATGACCCTCATGGATTTAGCACTTATCATATAAGATAGTAATAACTCAGCTCACTGTCATGTATAATACTTACCTTTACTACAGTAGCAAGTTTCACATGCAGTATAATTTTCAGTAATAAAGTGAATTTGACAAAACTGTAATGTCATTTGACAGAAGAGATATTTATTCTTGTTGTGTTTTATTAATTTAGATACCAAAATTTTGCGGAAAGGGTAGTGGTCAAAAGAATACAGTGACACATAATAGATCCAGGAAAGGAAATCATGAATATGATTATATTTTTCCCTTGGCAGTTGAGGTTCGTTATGCTGGAGAGCTGCGGGTGACCCAGGGAGACTCGTGGATTCCAGACTTAGTCGTGGTTGAGTCCCCGGCATTCAAGGCTAAGGCCACTAAGTATGAGAAGATGGTAAGTGTCTCCTGTTGCTTTAGGGAGAAGGTAAGCATCACTTGTTGAGATTGGAAAAACATGAAGTTTCACCTGTTTGCTTTGGGAGATAGCAAATGTCACTCATTGATATATGCAGTACTAACAGGACAATCAATTACCAGGTCATATTGCCACTTTTATTTTAATAATTCTACAATGTGATTATATAAATCAATTCATAAGCTGACAGATAAGAAAAATAGGGAAATATAATTGCTACATAAGACTGTATCTGATTCTTATAGAGAGAACTAGGACACCAAGGTTTAATTTTTAGCTTCAGACAGTGTATGAGAAGAGTTTCCTGAAGGGGTCACTGCGGAAGGCGAAGGTGGTTCGCTTCATCAAGAACCCAGCCAGTAGTAGGGGTCTAATTATTCACTTCAGACTGGCACTAGACCGCCGAAAGTTGCCCAGGTGAGTGGAGACATGATAGATGCTCAGAGGAGCAAGATATTGCGGATGTCTTTACAATATTTGGAAATATGGTATAAAGAGAATTAATAACCCTTTTTTTATATTGTCAGGCTGAAGGATAGAGTAAAGATATGTCAATATATTAAGTGATTTATATGGGGGACTGTCATTGTACAATTACTGTTTATGAATTTATCAAAGATTGTATCTACTACCAGTTTATATATGAGAAATACCACAGTGTTATTGATTTAGATATGTAGAGGAAGGTTGTGAGTTACTGTTGAATTAATACTCTACTGTGTAAGATATATGCTCGTCTTACTGTGCCTTTAAATGCTAACATAATTCCAGTTAACCCTGAAGGAAAGTAAAACTTTTCTAGTAAACTCTTAGGTGTGGCTTAAATAAATTTGTTTGAATAATAATAAAAATAATAATAATAATAATAATAATAGTAATAATAATCACCTCTCTTTCTGGCAGTCATGTGGACAACACAGAGCTGGCTGTACAGGACGTGCTGCTGCAGGAACTCATGAGTCTAGAGCCTATAGCTTTCCACAATGTTGCTGTTGATATAGATTCTCTACACCTAGCGAGTAAGTTCATCCTCACATAAGTTTAGTCTTTTTCTAACACTTGGCCACTCTGTCTAGAAGTTCTTTCCTAACGGCAGGTAAAGGCTGTAATGATCACAATACATAATTTCATAAAAAATGTAATAAGTGCACACACAATATAGGGAGATTGTCATTTTAAGTGATGTACTGTATGTTTAATTTATTTTCAAATAATTTTTTTAGTATATCAGAAATTAAGTTTATTGTAAAGAGTTGCACATAGAATATTAACCTTATCTCTTGTATAAACTGAAAGTAGGACTTCACTTGTTATTTTATTACAGGAGAGACAGAGTCTGTAGGAGTGGAGGTGGGGACAGTGCCCCCCACTCCCCAGCCCCGAGAAGATGACGTACAGGTCATTAAAGTGGAAGGGACGCAAGAAGCACCAGGTGGAGCCATCATGATTCGCAAACCCTCAGGCTCACCCACCAGGAAGCAAGAGGAACTGCCGCAACAGGTAAGGATCCTTGTTGCTGCCTCCCACAGCACTTCTATTTTTGCACAGCACATTACAGTAATAGGGTTCTAGTCCGCATTACATGCAGCATTACATTATCATTGGCTTGTAATAGTTTGTTAAGGCATGCATGTGTTAGATAGGAGCAAATGGTTTTTAGGACCTAAAGTGCTGTTGGAGTGTAAGCAAGGTAACATTTATGAAGGGATTCAAGGAAAGTGGCAGGCCGAACTTGAGTCCTGGAGATGGGAAGTACAGTGCCGGCATTCTGAAGGACGGGTGTCAATGTTGCAGTTTTATAATTGTAGTGTAAGCATGCCCCTGGCAAGACAGTGATGGAGTGAATGATGATGAAAGTTTTTCTTTTTCAGGCAACCCTGCCTTGGTGGGAAACGGCCGATGTGTTAATTAAAAAAAAAAATTATCTGGATAACTTACTCATAACTAACCCACAAATTTTAGGTGACATTTGGTTCATCCTGGATCAGGATGAACTGAAATGCCATCCAAAGTGTTCTATACAAATTGTGAGTTAGTTGTGAATTGTCCTAGTCATGGTAATGTGATTTTTTTTGGTGAATGTTCCTCTGCACATTTATATGTACAGTAAATGCTGATGAATGTGTACAGTATTGTCCACAATAATTTTTGATGTATACTTAGGAGAATCCATTTTTAAATTATCCTTTAAAATTATATTGCATTATTATAATATATTTTGTTGAAACATTAAGTATCTTTACTACAGTGTCTAGATTATTGCCACAGATTCATTACAGTACTACTTTGAAATTAACATTCTTAATTCTTCTTATATAAATATTTTACACTGTTGTTAAAGATGCTCTTATGCATTATTATCATGTATTTTTTTTTTTTTAAACACTGGCCATTTCCCATCAAGGTGGGATGATCCTCCCCAAAATAAAGAGGAAACACATTCACCATCATTCATAAAATTAAATGATGTAGATACTTCACAAACATTTTATAAATAGACAGTGATGTAAACCAACAAGTGGTAATTTCAAAGACCCTGTAGTGGGGCTTTGTAAAGTATTTGTTAAGTCCTATTATGGATGAAACATCATGTAGCATAGGCTTTCCCTGCTAAAAGTTTCTTTGAAATTACAATGCATAGATTAATTATATTTTTGAGAAAATGTGATCATGAATGTTTAACCAATTGAACATAATATATTTCTTGGCCATCAGGAGGTGGAAGAGGCAGTGAGCAGCACAGTGGCTAACCTCATTTACCAGTTTGGTCCTTGGCGGCCCATTGATCCATTCAACGTGTTCAGACCATCACCGACTGCTCCTCCTTCTGCTGCTCCATCCCATCACAATCCCTCGGAGCGAGACTATGCACGCCCTTTCTTCAGCCCAACTCTTACACCTTCACAACATCCAGGATTGACCCCCAAACCTACAATTAATATCGATATTGTCACAGACCCCACATTGACGTCTCCTAAGCCAACAACAACGACAACCTTCCCCACCATGACTACTGCCCTTCCCACCTCTACAACAACAACAGCAACAACATCTATTATCACCACAACTACATCATCAACGCCTTCACCAACAACAACATTGCCTTCACATTTCATTGAGCGTGTTGGTATGGCTGCAGAAGGCTTTACTGCTGCAGATGACAGAATGATCACAACTAAAAGAAATCCCTCAAAAGATGATCTGCAGGCATTCTTGGCAGACTTGCTTTTCTTTACAACACCTCGACCTCAGTCACCTACCAGAGTGTCTCGACCTCAACTCCACCTACCTCATCGTGTTCACTCACCATCTATGTCGACCTTCAGCAGTAGTCAAGGACAACCTCAACATCAAGACAGCAAGGCTGCAAACACTGAAAACAGACTGATGACCTTTCCGAACATTCTAGATCACAACAGAAGACACCCGCCACACACCATGTCTCATTCGCCATCTAGCAGCAACACAGGAACCACCATTCCCATGCACACTCCTGGAGTTCCTAAAGTGACTTCCTACTCTGGTGTCAGAGAACCTTTGCCACCCAGACCACCACCTGCAATCCGATTCCCTCAAGATAAGTTCAGGTTCCCAAGTTCCTCATCCTTGGCCACTACAACATCGGCAGGAACGACAGCCTTCAGTATCTTTGACTTCCTCACCACCCGGAAGCCTCTCATACTTAATACAGAGCTTGTAACATCCACCAGTATGGATATAGATTATGGATCAGCAAACCAGCATGGACCTCACTACCAAAAGAAAATAACAACCCACTCTGATCCTGTTTATGTTCCATCTAGTAGTAGCTCACTTGCACCTGTTTATAGACCTGATGCCCCAGTTAATATTTACAACAGTAATTATGGCTCCTCTGACCAATATGGCCCTATTTATTATCCAAAAGAGTCATCATCTATGAGAGACTTTGCTGAAGATAAAGATTATGTCACTGTTCCAGTGATCTCAGGTAACCATGTGAGATACATGATGGTAAATAAAACTCGCTCGAACTACCCTAATGTAGTGATTGTCAACCTGCAAACAACTCCGGAGGAAGACCTCACTACACCCATGACGCCCATACGTGGAGACTCTCGTAGACTTAACACCAAGTTTCTTGAAGATGCATTTAAAGCTGTTTTACAGAGTTCTAACTATCGTGTTGTAGATGGAGCAGCACCTGCTGATGACTTCCAGCATGGCTTCTCCAACAGACAAGGCAAACCTATTGATCTGGATGTTCCAGACTCACCGGCTCCACTTGTTGATAGTGATACTAATGAGTCGATATCTCTTTGGTCTTTCTTGAGAAACCTTAGTCAGGTTTACCTCTCAGACCCTGCAATTATAAATCAACTTCATTATTTTGAAAAAGCTGCATTGGAAGCTGTAAATGAACAGAAAACAATTACAGAAACACCGCTACAACAACATTCATCAACTTTAGAAACAACTACGTCATCACCTCCAATGATGCCTTTCTTTCAGCTTCTTCAAGAATCAACTGCCCACAGCAATACATCCTTGACTCCATATTTAAGAAATTCTAATGTTGTAGCAAATCATCCTTCTGAATATTCTTATATTCCTTTGCATGGGGAAGCTCCTCAATGGCATCCCAGTGAGTTTTCTCCAAAGATGGGCACTGTCCTAAGAAATAATCCAGAACCTGTGGTTCTGGATAACATATTTTTTCAGCCTTCTGTATCTGGTAATTCGAAGTCCTCATCTCACCCATTTCATCCTCAAACATCTTCACCATATACAACTCTCTTCATGACAGGTGTTGGAGGAAAGAGCTCTTCAAACCCTCAAATTATCAGTGTCTCCAGCAGATCTCCTGTTTCCTCCTCTGGTTCTCCCACCACTAACTCCCCGATTCACACCTTCGTATTAAAGGATGGACAGTCATTAGAAGAGCTTCTACAGGAAATATTTGATACCATATCTTTAGAGGAAGAAAATGAGACTCATCCTTCCACTGTTGAACCAGATTCAGATATTGAAACTACAACATCTGAGTTAGAGACCACTTACCAGACAACTCACACTGCCGAGAGTCGGAACAATGTTTTGGAATCTATTAATCAGATTATTTTCCAGTACCTCCAAGAAATGGCCAAAACCTCTGAGAATGATGATCAGAATAAGACTCTAAAATCCATGACTTCCCCATACACCACCACTCCTCTTGCTGAAGAAACCAGTAAACCATTCACGATTCTTGAAACTACAACACCATCTACTGTGCCTGAAACCATTGAAACCATTACAACTAGCAATGTTGCCAAACCTTCCACTGCTCACAATTACAACCTTGAGCTCTTTCCTGTCATGACACGTCCCATGTCTCCAATAAGAGCCACAACACCAGAACCATATGAAATTCT